GAGTGTCTAAGCGCGTCGTCTGGGCGCCGCTCAGGCCTCGCACAGATGCCGGGTTGCAGAGTAAGACCTGGCGTCTGCTGCTTGACCGAGATTCCATCGAGGAGCTATCCAAAGGGCGTTCAGCCCGTTACAATACCCCCCTCCTTAGGGTGGTACTGCGTCGCCTCTTCGAAACCCCTCTGGGAGGCGGCCCTCGCTGTCTCGCGCAGCCTCCGTGAATGCTTCCCATCGGTCCACTGCCTCAACGTCCTCTAGTAGTTCTGCTGGTTCGAGCGTCGTTCGGTGGAAACCTTTCCACTTCACCTCGTAGTATAGCTTATGCCCTCTCCCACGACGGCGTACCTCCTCTGCTACAATTTCTTCTACTTCCCATTCATCTTCTCCATCTACCTGCAGCGGCTGTGGCTGATAGTCGTCCTGAACCTGGTTTGGGAGCGGATCGTTGCTAGCAAGTTTCAACCTATCGACATGGAAAACAGGGTGTGGGCCTGGGGGCGTGTCTAGTTGGACTGAGTGGCTATCGATTACCTTAACCACTGTGTACTTAGCGTTCTTCCAGTCGAGCTTCTTAGAGCTTCGCCCTGTGCTGTACTGCTGATCGAGCTTCAGCCATACCTTGTCGCCTACTCGGTAGCTCTGCGCTTCTCTCCGAGTCTTGTTCGCCTGTCTCTCTTGTTCTTGTTGAGCAACTGCTATGCCTGCTTGGGCTAGTTCTACGGCTTGTTGTAGCTTAACCGCGATCTCTGCTGCCTTCTGCTCATCCGAAAGCTGTTTGGCTGGTTTCCGCTGTTGCCTTTCATTGTCTAGCTCTAGCTGCAGCGGCTCCACTTCGTGCCTATGCTGTAAGAAGAACGGTGACATTCCAGTCGACGTTGCGTTTCTACCATTGATCGCGATCTGGGCCATTAGGCAAAGCTGTGCCTAGTCATTCTGAGCCTAGTTTGTGAACGTTTGGATGTAGGTCTCCCAGACGCTGTTCATCCTTTCTATTGCACCGTCCGTCTGTGGGTGGTAGGCTGTCGACAGTCTCCGTTTGATCTTCAGAAGCTTGTATAGTCTTGTCTATAGTGCACTCACAAACTAGCTGCCTCTATTAGAGGTAATAGCGTCTGGTAGCCAGTGATATGCGACTACACGTTCGATGAACTTTCGAACGACGGTTTCTGTCTTTGTATCTGGGAGCGGTACGAAAATCGCACCCTTACTGAGCCGATCAGTGATTACCATCAAGCTAGTCATGCCCTCACTCTCTAGTAGCCCTTCGACGAAATCCATGGAGATCTCCTTCCAGATCTGGGTGGGTATTGGCAGTGGTTTTAGAAGGCCTTGCGTGCCCTCTCTCCAGGACTTGCTCCGTCCACAAGCGTCGTAGTTTCTAACATATCTCCGGATCGAGTTGGTCATGCCTGGCCAGAAGTAGTCCCTTGCGAGTATCTTGTACGTTAGCTCGCGTCCTAGGTGGCCAGTGACTAATGAGTCGTGTGCGCCGCTGATGATTGCCGTTCGCAATTCGTCGTTGTCTGGCACCCACTTGCGCCCTCGGTAAAATAGGACTCCGCCGTCCGCTAAGCAGTCTTCGATTGAGCACTTTAGGCCTAAGTTCGCAGGGAAACGTCGTTCTTGGTCCTCTACGGCCTTCTTCGCTCCCTGGTAGACCTAATCCTTCACTGTCGCTTCTTGCTAGAGCTTCTCCAACTCGTTCTGCTCCGACGCTTCTTCGTCTAGTTCTCTAGGAGGTAGTTGGCCTAGTTCTTCTTTAGCTAGGGCAACAGCCTCTTCTTCCCGCCGTTGGCTTCGTGTTTTCGTGGCCATTACTAAAATGGCTTCTTCTAGTTCCTCTTCTAGTTCTTCTTCTGCTATCTCCTAATAGGAGTTTGTTGGCTTAAATATTTGCACGAAACGCTTCTGCAAGCGCTCGTCTTCTGCCCCTGCAGGCAGGTCTTGTTCTCTTCTCGAGAGCGCGTCGGCTCTCACATTCTGCTTGCCTGGCCGATACAGCAGCTCTAGGTTGTACCTACCAAGTAGAAGCGACCATCTCACCTGGCGCTCGTTCAGCATGCGAGGTTTTATGAAGTACTCTAAGTTCTTGTGATCCATAATCACCTTAAACTTCTTAACTAAACGCAGCTTAGAATCCCATTCCTCAAGGCATCGTACTA